TCCTATGCCATGATATATTTATTTTAACTATTTATAAACGCCTATATCCTCGCACGTTCCGTTTACTTCGCAACTATCAAGTCCCTATTTTACTAGAGAAGACTTCTAATTTTAAAAGGCGTATTTTTCATGTTCTCCCTTGCTACCATCGTCTTATTTCTTTAAGGCCGAACCCTTGTTACGAAGACATTTAATGTTAGTCAAGCAGTCTGTTGATCGCGTTCCCAAAGGTATCACTCAACGATCCCAAACTGCAGGAATCGGTATGAAGTTATTTAGTCAGCTTTTGTCCTTTTTTCTGACTTGTGTCGGCGTATCATCAGGCATGATTTTCATGGCGTAATAATGTTGAACTTTGGAAATCTTACCGAAGTGTTCGTACCGTTCTGCGCTTAAAAATGTCTGCTTGGTAGCAAGTAATTTATCTCTCACATGAAGCTACCTGCTAGATAAAACACAGAGGATATGCTAATATGCGATTATAGGCCGGATTTCCGTTGAGCTAGTAGGCGGTTGCCGTTTTGTGCCCCCATGTGTGCCCAGAAGCCGACGTATTTGTGTACGGATATTCAGGTATAGACTTGTACTCTCAAATTAATCTCATATTTTTGTCATTATGAATAACTTGAGGCATCTTCAAATTTTCCAACCTCATGTCGTGCCTTATGGTTGTTTTCATGTGGCTTTTGTCATGCTGATATTTCTCTCTCGCTCCCTCGCTCCCTCTGTCTGTCTCTGGCGGTCTGTCTGTCTGTCTGTCTGTCTGTCTCTCTCTCTCTCTCTCTTGTTAGACTCTGCTTAGCAACCCGCTCATAGGCCGGGTTATATGTCCCGACGGCTCGTCAACGACATCATCCTGGCACTCTAGGGCCTTTGGTTTCCAAATAACTCCTACTTACCGACTTTTGACTGGCTAACCTTGCCGATTTTGGATTTTTGTTAAGCACATAGTCGTTTACCACTAGTTTAATACTCTTACGGACCCTTGGATAGGAATATTCACTTATCCACATTCCGTTGACATAACTGAGAACTTGTGAATCTGGAATCCTTTATGACTCTTCTTCACGTGTAGTGCCCATATTAGCTTAAAATGACCTCTATACGTGGCCTCACTTTTTGAATTTCCACGTTGTACTGGAATGGGTTTTGGGGATCTGAAGCAGGAGGCCGGTATCAAGGCTCTTAACGAGTACCTTCTTACGAGGAGTTACATCGAAGGGTAAACACTATTCCATATGCCACTAAGATTATTTTCAGTTACCAGCCGTCCAAGGCCGACACGGTTGTATTTGATGCGCTTGGCAAAGAGCCAGCCGGCAAGTATGTCTGCGCCAATCGCTGGTACAAGCACATAAAGTCTTTTGGTGACCAAAAAAAGAAATTCCCTGGACAGGCCAAAGATGTCTCTTCCTACGGCCCTTCAGGTGATCCATTTGCGCTTATATTTGCTTTACTAGGGTTCGCAATGTTACGTTACTGGTTTTCGTTTGCAGTCAATGGTTGGTCAGCCCTTGGGCCTGATGTGTAATGCGTAGCCCGTTTGGACCCCAGCAATTATGATATTCACCGTTACTTCCTACCTGGGATCTAGCTTTACTGCTATACCTCATGCTATG